CGAAGATTCATAAACTACCCGAAAATAAGCAACACTATAACAAAAATATGTTGCTTATTTTCGGAAGAATACGGTATAAATAAATAATATTATTATATTCTTTTAAAAAAAGACACTTCTTGAAAATAAGCACTATTTTATTTTTTTAAAGAATTCATCATAATCAATATTTCTTTCATTATTATTAATGATCATTATTATCATCACTACTATTATTATTATCACTATTACTATTATTATTTACTACTAATACATTTAGAATTACCACTAAATGATATCTATTTTTATAAAACTTTATTTTAATGTATTCTTTTATATAATTTCTAAATTAAACATATTACAAATATAAAGTATTTATCATTTTTGCATAGCTTTTAAAATTAAAAATTTAGCAATTTTATTGGTACTTAAAATTAAGCATCTTTATAGCAAAAAGTACTTAATTTTAGAAGCATACAGTAATTATTTTATTATTAAATATTTTTTTTATCTAAAATATAAAATTTGTATTTAAAAATATTTTCTATTTTAAAAACTTTTATATAATAATCTATTTTTATTATTTTAATAAATTGTAAATTATTATATTTATTAAATATAATTGCTTATAATTATCATATTATAAATCATTAATTTATAAATATAAGCAAAAATTCAAATTATTTAAATATGTCTATATAAAATAAATTATTTTACCTTATTATATATTTTCTTTTGTATAAGATTTTTATTTATATTTATATAATAGGCATTTTTATCAACTATAATATTAATCTAAAATAAATACAGTCAACTCTTAGTATAGTGAACTCTTGATATAATGAATTTTTTGAATAAATATAATACAAATACTCTTGTTATAGCGAATTGGCCAATCAAATCTCTTAAAATCTTCACTATAGCCTTATAGTGAAGTTGAGATCTAGAACATAGAGTTCATTATAACAAGAGTTGACTGTAATTTAAATAATTTAATATTTTTTAATAAATCTAATTAAAATTAATAAATAAAATCTAATACTTACAAATATAAAATATTATTTCTACTTTTAATTTTTTTGATATCTATTTAGAATTTATAATATAATTATTTTTAATTTTTAACTTTTAATATTTATTATATTAAAAGTATTCTATAAATATTATTATACTTAAATTAATTTGCAATTTATATATTTTAGAATTTAAAATTTATTTAATCAAATTTAATAATAAAGTTGAAAGTAAATTAGTGTAAGATATCATAATTAAATCTTAGATAAGAAACAATATTAAAAAGAAAGTAAATCTTATAAGTTTTAATTAATTCCTTATTAATAACTTAAAATTTGCAAAAGAATCTTAAAACTTACATAAAAATTTAAGATTTGTATAAGAGTTTATTTATATATTTTATATAAAATTATTTTGCTATAATTAATTATTTTTAAATTAAATATTGTAAAATAAAATATAATAAAAATATTAAAAATAATATAAATAATAAAATATTATAGTAAAAATAATAATTATTTAAAGAATTAACAAATTAAATAAATCTGATAAATCAGGTAAATTAGATTAATTTTATAAATCTTACAAATCAATAAATTAGTTTGATCTTTCTGACATGATATATTAATGATATAATACATAATCATTCTTAATATGATTTATATAAAATTAAATCTAATAATTTTTGCAAATCATTTTTCTAGAATTAATTTTCAATATTAACAATATATAAATATATATAATAAAAATTATTTATCAATTTTATAATAAATAATATATTTATATTATCACTGTAAAATTTTTTAACTCAAGTTAATTACATCCTTAAATTTCTATTTAAGATTTACTAATACTGTGACTAAGATATTAAAATCTGCCTAATTTTAAATTTATCAATTTTGCATGCTAAATTCAATAAATCTGTCAAGTATAAAGTCTTGAAAAATGAAATTATAAATAATTTAATTAGAGAATTAATAACAAATTCAATATGTTGTAAAGATTATGTCAGAATATATAAAGACATGAAGAGGTAGAAAGTTATGAGTTTTACTTGGTTCCTTTATTATAATATTAAAACTCACAAAAAACTTGCAAAAGAGTTAAAATATAACATAAGCAATAAGTCTATCTATTTATACAAAATTTTTTGTTACAGTTAACTAATTACTGCGCTATAAACTAACTAATTTTTATAAAAAAATTATGATTTTTAAAATTATTGATTATAATAAAATATACAATAGTAATATAATTATAATTATAATTATTGATGAATATTAAATAATTTTCTTTAATTTAAATTATAAAAATTTGATTAAAATAATTAATTTATTTAAAATTGTTAATTGGATCTGTTTTATTAAAAAATATTAATCATAAAATCACATTATATCTTAAAATTTTAGTTATAATAAATAAATGATATATAATGATATTACTTTGTAATCAAACTTTTTGCTCAAATACAAGACAAATCTAACTTTCTAAAACCTTATAAATTTTCATAATGCCATAATCACATGGATAAAGCAGTTCCTTGCTTTGTTCAAACTATCAACTCAAGAACAAAAACTTTATTATGAAAAATAAGATAAAGTCGATGTAGAAGTCGGATAATTGTGGCTCGTCATATATAAAATCAGATTTTACACAAAAACGACACCTACGAAAGATTAAATCCAACGTATTACATTTTGTTTTACATTTCATTACGAAAGGATTGCAAAACAATGTTTATAATGGTTTTATGGCGTAGCTACTTCAAGCGTTACATTCCTCATATATTTTTATCGAAATTTGCATGTGATTATATCAATAAAGCTGCTCTGAAAATTCACCAACACTGCATAATAACATAATTACTTTCATTTGAAAAATCATCTCGCCGATGTTTGCATTTGCATGTAAAGTTCCGAGTGAGCACTTTACAGTAATAAATATTTTTGAGATTCACACGAAATATCTGCTCATAATAGCTATGCAATTTTGAAGTAAAAATCCAAAAATGATTATGAAAATGGAATCTTTTACGTCATTTGGCATTGTACCGTACATTGTCAATTTCACCATATAGCGGGAAGATCAACATTTGCAAAATATGTAATTTCTAATAATCTACTAACACGCGTTATTCAAGTCTCTTTAATTGTTATGAAAGACTACATAAACTCGTTACGCGAAAAAATTGCATTCATGTTCATGATACGTCTACATTTGCTGAAGCAGGTATGAATTTCTTTGTTATACAACTTTACAGTAAGCAATTTTAAAGGCAACGGAAAAAGGTGTTGTGGTATGCGCATATTTAATAAAATGTCCAAACTTGGGATTCGAGATTTGCATATCGACATATCGATGCATTTTGTATCATTGTTTATCGGGGTGCAATTGGCTGTGTTTAGTATCAATAATTATTCAAAATCACACAAACTACTTAAAAAGAGGTAGGTTATAATACAGGGCGGTGTGAAAAACGTCATATGATCGACAAATATGGAATGGATTTAATATAAAATACGTAAAACAACGTTTCTTTCCCACCAAAGTACACAAATTTTCTCACATCTTGCGAATATTTCCGCCCCTTTTTTTGTTGAAAAGTTGAAAAAATAAATAAAAAATATCTCTCATTTTTCGTCGTAAAAAAACTAAGCTTACCTTTCGTTCAAAGTAGGCTTTTACACCTTTATATAGTTAGATATCGGCTCTAAATATTTCTTTCCTTCATAAATAAATATATATAAAAAAAGTTTATATTTCTAGGTTTCAAATATTTTTTTTCTTTGTAAAGATATGAAATTTCTAGATACAGCTTCTCTCGATCCCATAAATACCGCGCTGGTATTTGAGAACCCAGAGTGCAGGGTTGTGGGTCGAATAGAGACCTACTCCTGTAAGTAGGTGAAACAATGGGTAGTGACGGAGTGGTCAGTGCATTTTATTATTAGAGAACACATGCAATCCAGGAGAAAAAAAAATCTTTAAAAAAAAAACACTCTTCGTATTTTATAGGTAAACTTGCAGGCGTTGACAAAAAACTTTATAAACATCTTGAGAGTCAATGGAATTCTGATTTTTCCCAAGGTTCAGAAAGTGTCTCACCCGAACCTATTCATACTCTTCACAATATAATTTCCCCGTTTGGCCCAATGAATCAACCTTCTTCTCGCAGGATGTTGTTCAATTTAATCGCAACCTTAAACGCGTCTTATCCTGATTATGACTTTTCGTTCGTATTTCATCTTTATTTGTCGCGTTTAATTCATAATGATTTTATTTCGTGCGTATTCTGATATCGCTTTTAATGTAGTGACATCAAACCTGACCAATTCACCAAACAACCATCAGTTCCCATGGTTTGCAATTATATAAATAATACCTTATTTAATTTAGGTCGCGCTTATATAGTTAATGATTTGAATTTATGGCAAGTGATAGACGACATCATTGAATTAGACGAATGTAGTGTTTACTCATTTAATCCTGATATTGATTCAGACCCAAATGCGGAAGATGGCGCCATGTATGTAATTGTGATCTTTTACCTTCTCAACTTACAAAGAGATACTCATATTTTTGGAATATTTTCAGAGAATTTCTTCAAGTTTTTAAAAAAAAATTTATTTTTATATATATATATTCACATGGGCCTCTGTACACATACACAAGCTCATTTCATTGAATGATTATCTTTTCTTTTTCTTTTTTTTCCTCTAATTTTTGCTTTATAGATGGTCATTCAATTTCTTCTTTTACAACAAAAAATTAAAACGAATATTATTTTTCGCTGTCAGATGTTTAAGGTATTTTTCACTTTTTATACACGCATATGTCACATTTGATAATTCTAAAATTTTTTTAAACAATTTTATTTTGTAGTATTAATGCACCTTTGCAAGAAGAGGAACCGTTGGATTCATACTCGGACTCGGGGAGCGACGTAATGTAAGTAATTTCGAGAAACAGCTAAAGTGCAAATAAGAAATCAATAATTCTAATAGAATGGTATATATTTATAGTGGGATGTCATATGAGGAATATGTGATGGGAGATATTGAAATGTAATAACAGTTGGTTTATAACCTATCGAATGGCCATAAACAAAACGAAGAGTCTAAGTGACTCAGAATATTCATGACAAAATCGATGCATGCGTTGAATGTAAAACGTAAAATCAAACGATCTAATATCTTCAAATATTAACAGATTATCATATCTGTGTTTATTTTCTACATTCTTACCGGTTTATTTATATAAACATTTTAAACCTTTATGTATGACAAGTTGTATTTTAGTACTTTATTATTTATTTATTAGGTATAAAGTAAATCTTAATTAACAAATTAATGAAAATGTGAAATGTTATACAAATTTATAAATTACCGATATTTGGGAGGAATACGTCATCCCATCCCTAATGGTACTCTATCCTTCCGTTTTTTTTTTTTGTTTTATTTTTTATATTAATATTGAACTTGGAATGGTACTCTATCAAAAAAAAGAAAAAAAAAAGAGCTTAGGAACAAACCGTACCTACACGAAAATGTGTCATAATTGCGCAAATTGAATTTACACGAAATTTATCGTTATTATTTATTTATTTACTTAATTTTCAAATATAATAATTAAATGCATATGACAATGCTTTTTTTGACAAAATAAATTTTATCTATGAACTATTCGAGGTAAGAAAGAAAGAAATTCGGTATAGAATATAGAATTACTATAAGGAACCCGGGTAACGGCATTATTATTTTGCCGATATAACCATTAGATAATGTTTATTTTTATAAGTTCATTTTGAAGAAAAAAAACAGGTTATTTTGAATTTATGAATTATAATATGAAATAATATGTGGCTCATGTGCTTCATTATTTGAATAAAAAAAACCTTAATTTTACGCACGTTATTTTTTTTTTTTTTTTAAACTAAAAATAGCTCTCAGTGGTTCTCCGGGGTTACGAATCCGATATTTATCTAAAAGTCACTTTGGGGGGGAGGGAATAATGACCAAGAAAAGAAATGATGTTACACGATGGAAATAAAATTAATAATAAAAAATATTCGAAAAAATATAAATACGATTCATTTCAAAGATGTTTCTAAAAAAAAAAAAAATTAAAAAATTATCATTTGAATTTTTTTTTAAATAAATCATGGGATATTGGAGTAAAGATAAATATATGATGTGGAATCCTTGGGATTTCCCAAATCCGTTTCCACCCGACAGATCTCATGGACCGAATCTCCAAAACATAACCCAAAATTTATATTGCTTAAAAATGAAACTAAAGACGATAGAAGATGTTAAATGTATCCCATCCGAGACGAAAAGGTATCTTAGATGGATGCTTAAGGCGGTTTGCTCATGCCAGCATACTAATGCAATTCCTAATCCAATTATACGTGAAACTTTGGACATTGCGTTATCAGATATTCTTGAAAATATTATTCCTCAATTAGAGCTCGGTAACCCCCCACCTTTTTCCTGCATCCCGTTAAACGATGACAGAGAAATTTTTATGATCTGTCAAGAATTGCAGAGTGATTTAGAAGAATATACCGAAATTACTGATGAATTTTGCGGTATGCCGAGGTTAGCGATGGTTTTGTTCACATTATATCCGAACAGTAAATAAGCGAGAATCTTGGAATTTTGTTTTTTCACAATCGAATGACGGCTAAAAAAACTTCTCCGATAACGACGAATGACACCTTAATATATGATTTATTCTATTTACGTGAAAAATGGTTAGAACGTTGATATAAAATTTTATTCATTTATGTTTTAAGAACTTTATATGTTTGTTAAAATATGATTAGCAATTGAAGGATATTGTAATATATATATATAAATAATATAAATAGTAAATATGATTTAACGAATAATAGAAATAATAATATAGATTTTCTTATATGTAAAATAATTTTTAAATTTTCCCCTCGACAGAAATAATAATCTTTTTAAAGAAAAACCTAAGTATTAAAATCGTTTGTTGTATACTACACGTGTGATGACTTTTGCTTTTGAATGTAAAACTTTATTAGTTATTTTATTATCGAATTTTAAAAGGATTTCTCATTTCTCATTTCTACTTTCTATTTCTTTTTTTTTTTTTCGTTTCATACTTTTCTTGTTGGAACAAAAAATTTCACGTGATTCACCAATTAAGTCATAATTCGTAAGCTATTGCGTTCGTAAATCCGTAAATCTTCCATCAAGTTCTTTTCTTCTTTTTTATTTTAATCATACATTTAAGAAGGACTAATTAGGAATAAAATTTGTAATAAAATAACATTGTTTTTTATAATATATGGTTAATATCAAAAATAATAATAAAAAATAAATAAATAATGTGGCATGCTGTGATCAATTATCATATTTTTCTTTGTTTAATTTAAATTAGATTACAAATAATGTTTTTTTGTAGTATACACAAAAAAAAATTTTTTTTCGGGATTTACCCTAATCACTTATTGCCAAATTTGAGAGGGAACTCGCGTTAAACCAGCTGCACATCGGAGAAAAAAAAAACTGCGTCTATGCGATTCAAAGATCGAAAAGAAGATTGTACTCCGAACTTTTTATTAAACAAAAAAAAAAAAAATTAATAATAATAATAATAATTAAACGCCAAAAAAAAAAAAAAAAAAAATTCAAAAATGGAAAGAATGGTTTAATTAATCTCTTTTTGATTTAGAAAAAGAATAATCCGCTTACTGTTTCGTCAAGCGTTGTACTATACATCTTTTAAAGTTTGGCCAAGACATCAATAAGAATTGTGAACCGCAGTAAAAGGCGAAGCTCCAATTTACACAAACGTCATATGTTTCCAAAAACGTTACTTTTATCCGTTCTAAGAAAGCTTGACGTAGTATAACTTTAATATAAACAATCTGATAAATTATCAGATTTCGGATAAATAAATATTCATTGTTTGTTTTTAGTTAGCTCGTATGATCATAAGTTCAAATGTAAAAATTCCATAATAATCATCAAATGATCCATTGATCCCTTATTCGTTCATCATATTAATAATCGAATTTTCGATAGGGATGACGCAGTAAAACTTACGGAGATGAGGCCGACTTGCAAATATTGCATCATTAAAATCAAAAAGAATGCAGGTTCCATTTACCTAATATTCGATTATATAAAGAAAAATTTGTCTATAATTAGAATTTGAATGGATGGTAGTGTTTCTTTGTGATTTTAAAAATAATATGTCAAATCAAATCTGAGTTCCTCGATGATATATTAAAAGTTGTGTGTGTCTCTCTATATAATGCTTATGTGGCAAACACGCATTATACGCTTTAACCTTTGTAGTGTGAAAGGAGGAAACAACTACCGAAAATAAAGGGTTAATGCCAAATCTGTACTTATTTTACTCCAAAAATCATTAAAGTAAATGGTCTACTGCAAATAGTATCCATATGGTCTTATACTTTAACCAATAATCTAATATTTGTATAAATAAGCGAGTTGACGTAAAGCATACATTAAATTACGAAATCACTGCATAGAATTCACACTTTTTTTGAACAAAAAATTTTTTTGTTGGTTAATGAATTTTTTGATTTAACCAAAAAAGGATTGTTTGACAATACTTAGCCTGTTACCAGGGTTGGATATTTTTAATGTTTGGCCACGACCAGTAGAATGACCAATTACATTTATTTGTTCGAAAAAAAAATTCATTCGACAATCATTTGCCTAAAGATTTATCCTTTGCTATTTATGTTATAGCTATAATTTGTATTTTATATAGCATATTACATTTGTATATATATTTTATTATTATATTTCCTTTCTTATTTTAGAAATAAATAAAATATTTCAAACTAATAACTAATACAATCTATTTCAAATGGAATATTTTAAAGTGCCGATCCTTTTAAGATCGACACTAAATCATATAATCATGGGGTTAATTGTCTAATAAATTAATAAAACAAACAAATTATTTTTAAGCTACCAATATCTAAATACTGAATGTTACAGGTTCTCTTATTGATAATTTACACTATAAACTATATTCACATTATTTGTGAAAAGTTCAAAGTTTTTCAATTATTTAAAAACTGTCAAAAGATATAGAATTTTTTCCTATTTTAGTTAAAAGTTAAAATATATTCAGTTTTATTTATCAAATTGGTTTATACATTAGAAATGCAATTATAAAGCAATATTTTTATCTAAAATTGAAAATAAGATATATAAGATTGAGATTTATTAAGATTTACTTAAAAAACATATAGACATTTTGCAGTAAAAAGGGAAAAAACTATTAAAAAAAATTTTTTTACTTTATAAGCTAAATATTATTTTTTTAGTAAAATAAATTTAAATTTAACATTAACTCAAAAAAATTTTTTTAGTAATTTCCTTTCTTTCTACTACAAAGCGTTTATATATTAGATTAACTTTTAATAATATTTAGAAAATATCTAAATTAATTCAAAAATATATTGAATAATAACTTTATGATCTTGAAGATTTAAAAGTATAAATAATATTTATATAACATTATATCTCTACTTATCATCTACTTAAATAAAAGGATTTTGATAAGATAAAATTACTTTTTAATTATCATTTTAAATAAAAAATACTTACTAATATTAAGTGACATAAGTTTTTTTATTTTAGATTGTAAAGTAGTAAATTAAATATAATTTGGAAAAAATATATTCTATTAAATATAAATTTAATAAAAAAAAGCTTTGTTTTTGACAAATAATATTTTATTCTATCAAATGTATTAATATAACCTTTTGATTATGTGATAAATCTAAAGTAATTTTATTTATTTTATATCTTTTTATTATTATAAATTATTTATTATAAATTTATTTTTTTAGTTTTTTTTTATAAATTATGTTTGTTTTTAAAATATTATTTTAATTGTAAAATTTAATTAAAAAAAATAATAATAATAAAAATATATTATTTAAAAAAAGAAAAAAAATGTAAATGTTTTTAATATTTTATAATGCTAAAAATTTATAAAAATAAAATAGTTTTAATTAAGCAGAACAAACTTATACAGTCCCAGCCAAAGATTTTAATTTATTTTTTATTTCTTCTGTGAAAAGAATGGTGGTGGAAAACCGCATTTATTTTAGGCTGCGGTTTCACTATTTTTCAGATTTAGACATTTATTTATATGCCCAAATCAGACATTGGAACCTGAATTAAAAAGGTAAGTTAAAAAAATAAGGTTTGTTATTTGTTTTTATTTTGATTT